CCCCAGCTCTATATGCATAACCTTTGTTCTCACAAGCATAGGGTCTTCTTCAGGATATCCATAGTGCTTTTGTTCTTCTGCTGGAACATCCTCTAATACCTGAACTCTTTTCAAGGCCGCTTCTGATTAATGTTCTTTCCTTTATCACAACATGACACAGGCTAGGATACTACTGGTCCCCGGGTTTGTAGCTGCTAATGACAATCAACAGCCATACGTACAGAGCAATCCCGATCAGGCAACTGTGGCCGGTCCATCACATTTCAAGCACATATCAGATGTGTCTTCTGAAGGAGGTCTATTTATTGAAGAGCAAGCATCTCTGGTTCAACCCGAACGCCTTGGAGAGTCGGATGATCTGAGATCCAGGTTCTTGGATGACATTGATAAAGATAGTAATATTCAAGATGGAGACACTTCCTGTCTAGCTACAGGCACCATGAGTAATGTTGAGGAAGATCTCTTACCGGGAACATATTCCTACGATGTTGAAGATGGTGAACATGATTGTTTTCCTCCCCTTACATCCTGCGTTGGAACTCGTTGGTACAAGGCACCTGAGCTACTTTATGGATCCACAAATTATGGGCCGGAGATTGATTTGTGGTCATTAGGTTGTATTTTTGCGGAGGTTTTGCGTCTGGAATCACTTTTTCCTGGAAATTCAGACATTGATCAACTCGGCAGAATATTTAGTGTTCTTGGAAACTTATCTGAAGAAGTTTGGCCTGGTTGCGCAAATCTTCCTGATTACAAGATAATTTCATTTGGTAAAGTAGATAATCCAATTGGCTTAGAAGCATGTCTATCCAACAGGTCAACTGACGAAATTCTGCTCGTAAAAAAGTTGCTATGTTTTGACCCGGCTGGTAGAGCTACTGCAATGGAATTACTACATGACAAGTATCTGAACGAAGATCCTTTGCCTGTCCTATCGTCTGAACTGAGGATTCCCTCCAAACATAGTGGCGCAGATGAAGATTCACCTGATGAATTAGGTGATTATAGGGATTTTAACTCTGACTCAGACTTTGATGATTTTGGCCCAGTGAAAGTATCAAGTACTGATTATGGTTTCTCAATCAAGTTTTCTTGAGCCCCCGGGTGTATAATTTTGTTCAAAATTTACTTCCTTTTTTCCCCAAAATTTTGTGGCTGAGCTGTCCTCACATTGGTAGAAGCGATTCCTCTCAGAGTGATAGAGATTCTCAGTTTGCCATGTGATATTCAAGTATCATCATTTTGTTGCAGTACTTCATATATTTTGTTGTAGGGGCTTCTCAAAGTTTTGTAAGTTGTAACAATTGTGGCTTCCTCTGTTGGAATAGCAATTAAGAAACTGAGACATATACGTAAACGGCAAGTCTATATTATTAGTATTGTTTTTGTGCTGAAGGAGACTTCTTGTATTGTGCTACAATCTACTTAAAAGGTTCTACAGCTACTTCAATGAAGAATTGGATCCCATCTGTTTCAATTTCAGGTATATAGTTATTAAGTATTTTTTTGGTTTCCCATCCGGTGTCCGGTACCTGCATTGGGGCCCGATTAAATTCGGATTCGTGCCGGGAAGTCCCACATTGGGGGTAAAATGTTCCCTAACAAATGTGACTCCATACCCGGGACGCGAACTCGAGACCTCATGGTTAAAGGATATATAGTTATTAAGTTGTCCTCAATATTGTCAGTACCTTTGCTTGTGCAGCCTCGAGATTTTGCTCTCATTTTGCGCAGGACTGTTTTTTTCAATTGCAAATTAACCCCTCAAAATTTGAAACGTGGAAGTGATATTGTTTCATCGAAAAGCACTTTCTCTTCCTTTAGTCATTGACTAATATGTTACCAGAAAGTTTTGGTGGAACTGGAACAAAGCTGGTGACTTTGCAATAACACTAAGATAACATATTTATTCCATGGTAACCTTCTTATTTCCCAGTTTCGCTTTGTGTCTCTTTCTTCCACTTCCCTTGGTAGGTAAAACAAATTTTCATTTCAAAAGACATACGTACACAATTCTGAAAAAAAAAACTTAAAATAATCCTTTAAGTTTGAGATTACACTCAAAATGATCCCTAACATATTAGACGATATTTTCTTTTTTGGTTTCACCATTTGGTATTCAAAATTTTCTAGACCGATTTATTCTGATTCACTCCAAACCAAGAGTTTATTCATTCTTAAGGCTCAAATTGAGACCTCTGATTAAGCGTGGAATGATTTCATCCATCATACCATACTCTTTGAAGAATTATTAACCGTCCTCGAAATATAGGTACATAGTTCCTATCTCATTATCCTCGTTTTGTCTTTCCTCCTTCAATATTACGATTTATGGTCGATTGTCAAACAAAAAAAAAATAAAGGAGAAAAAAAACCATACCCTCTTTGGTCTCACTTGAATCTCTAATTAATAACTGCAAAGATTAATAGTCTAGTGATATAAGTGAAAATTTCTCCCATGATATGTGCGGGTTCAATTCTCACGGTCTCTTTGTGCTCATTTTCTTATCACCAACGTACTAATAGAGAAAAAATATCCCTAGTAAATCTGGTCCGTCTATCCCAATTCCCAAGTGCTTTTTTATACAAACTTCAGCATTCATTGGATCACTAACCTCTTACGCCAAGAAAAAAGTACAGAAATGGTATCAAATAATCATTTTAAAGGACTTTTATTTAGGAATTAACCTATGTGTCTTAAATTTCAGTTTTTCAATTCAATTTTCAGAATACAAATACCCTAAAATTAAATTTTTTTACTTATATTTTCGGAATAAATAAATACTGATTAATCCGTAAATAACCGAATTAATGATTTTTTATGCACGAGGAAAGTCAACGTCCTCGTGGACCCTTTAGAGCCAAAACCTATTACTACTACTATTTGCATTGTACCTTATTTTATTTTCTTCAAATTAAACATAGCAGAGAGATTTCCTCTATATTAAAAAATAAAATAAAAATAATAATCACGTGCTCTCGAGCCCACCTAATTTCCCGCTCTTCTCTTCCCAAGTAATGGTGGCGCTTAATGCCATTCCACATGGCGTCTTACCATTGGTCACTTGACAATTATATGACTGGTGATGTTGGCTGATATAATCCTACCCTATTTTATCTCAAGAAAATGCATTAGCAAAAAAAAATAAAAAATCTCAAGAAAATGCAGCATATTGTATAGGTTTTCGCAGTTGAAGACTCAACGCAACTAGCATTTTTAAAACGAAATATTGAATTTTTGAATTACTTTCATTTTATCTACAAAATAACAACATATCAAAAGTATTTTCGAACTTTTGTAATCTTAAAGTTGTCATAACCTTTCTATGACAATAAGAACATGTCATTAAGAAAAAATATAAGTTTAAGTTTAAGAAAGTTTTATATATCAAAACGCGTTATTTTTTTTATACAAGGAGGATTTAGAGCTCATTGATACAATGCTCTAATTTGGTGTTTTTAACCATAGTAGTTAGCTTCCGTTTGACTACAGATTTTTGCTACTTTTTTCAAAAAAATAATTTGAAACACTGTTTATTCATTGAATATGATAAGTTTTTGAAAAAAATTGATTTTTTTTTCAAGTTCCCAAAAATTGGTTTAGCGCTATTTATGGATGAAATTCTTTCTTCTGCTCTTAAAACTTAAAGTTTTTTTTTCAAATAAAATGCATGTCCAAAATACAACTTCAACTTCCAAAAAATTATTTTTTAATATAATTTCAAAAATTCAATTTTCAAGTTTCAACCAAATCAATGTTCAAACGCTAGCTTATGTGTGTGTGTGTATATATATATNAAATCTGTCTTTGAGTTCCATTGTATCAGGTTTAAATAAATAAACAACTATTTCTTGAGGTAATTTATTTATTTTCATCATATTATTCTTTTTGTATGTTTTAATTTTTACTTCAATAGATTCCATTACTCAAATGGTCGCTCAATTATCAAAATTTATCTAATAAAATCTGTCATTCTAAAATAAAAAACCTAAATCACTTGACTTGAAAAAAAATTGAAAATAACATAACAAATGTGAGGATAACCATATCAAACCTCTCTTCTATTTCTGAAGCAACAAAAATATTTATTTACATTCTTCGTCCTTTTCTTGTTTACGAGTTATCCAGAAATTGTGTCATTTTACTTTTCTTGTGGCTTTTTCTTTTTCCTTTCTTAAGAATATATGTTGATGCATATTAAAAAAATGAAAAAAAATGAAAATAACAAATGTTGTTGCATATTAAAAAATGTAAAAGTTTGATTTTTTGGATAAGTTTTGTCTATAATAGTAAAAAAAATATTAATTATATAATCATAAAACAACATAACTAACTTAACTAAATTGTTCATTAAACCAGGTTAAGATGATATCTGCTTATTTTGAATTCAATTACAATGTCAGTACATATAATACCCTAATTTTGCTCTTTTTCCTAAATGTTGCAAGCCATCTGCTATAATATCCATTATTATTTTATATAATTTGTTTCATGTTTGGCCATAGATTTTAACTATTTTTTTTTTTCAAAATTTTTTTGAAATACTATTTGTTCATGGAATATGATCAGTTTTTGAAAAAAAAATTCAAGTTCCCAAAAACTTTAAGGTAGTTTTTTGGTGAAATTTTGTATTCCACTCACAAAACTTCAATTTTTTTTCCAAATAAAATGTATGTCCAAATATAAATTCAACTTTCAAAAACTCTTTTTTCAGGTTTTAACTAAATCTATGTTCGAACGCTAAGTAAGATTAGTTATTAAATAATAAAAGTGTCATCTTATTTAGATGAAATGAGCATGTAAAAAAGAGTGACCGAACACGCATTCTAATTCTCTTCTAATCCGACGGTTATAGATAATCCTACAAAGCTTCTATGAATTTAAGCCGTTAGATTAATTCTCCCCGCAGCCACCGCACGATGAAACTTTTTACCGAAATCGTACCGTCCAATATTTACAAAATTGAATTTCAAAAGCTTTAGAGGGAGCAGCAAATATTTGCTGCTGCTTCTCTTCTTCGAAAAATCCCTTCTTTTCTCCTTCCGCCTGTGTACATACATAAAACACGCACACACACAGTGTATGTGTATTTGTCGATCGAACTTATTGTTGAATTAGGTGAATAATTTGAGTGGATTTCTAGCCAACATTCGCTGGTTTTTTGTAATTTGAATCTGATTTTCGAATTACACAGCTTCACCTGTCGAAATTTTGAATTTTAAGCAGTTTTTTCGTTATGTTTGTTGAAATTTGTGGAATTATCGTGGTATTTGCAGTGGATAATCAGTGAATTTGTGAGATTTTGTAATTTCTGGGCGTTTGTTGAGTTTTTATTGTGTGTTTGAATGGAGAATAGTGAGGGAGGGGATTTTTTCCCTCCTAACAAGGCTCAATCGGAGGTGGCTGTTTCCGCTGATGCAGCTACGACGGTGCAGCCGCAGGTGGCAGTGGATATTCCGGCGAAGAAGCTGGCTAGGCAGCTGGATTTCACGGTGTTCGGTGGCAGTGGTGGTCAATCTCCGGGCACCGCTATGCCGGAGCAAACAAAGCAGATTCAACCGCTTGTGAAATCAATACAACTGCAAAGGCCACAGACGCAGCAACATATGGTGTTAATGCCGACGAAACAAACTGCGGTGCCGACTACTCATCCTTCAATACGACCTCCTCTGTAAGTATCTACGGAAAAAGAGGGTCTTGTTTTAGCTCATTTAACTGAAATTTGTCAGGATTAGAGGAAATTATAGTTAAAAGTTTGTTATAAACTCTATAATTTGTTTGTTATTTGCTAAAGAATGCATCTTTGAGCATGTAGGAAGAGAATATAAGAAGCCTCTAGGGCTTTGATTCAATGTGAACGGTATTACAGACAAAGGCCGATTCACAGTTTGAATTTTATGGGTTCCTACAATGACCGCAAGTTAATATAGAATAATATCTTGTGATCAAAGTCAAATATTTATAAATATTTAATGGATTTCTTAATATATATATATCGAGGAATTTAAACTTTATAGGTTCTGGATTCTAGGACAACGACCTCAAGTGCTAGTAACTGAATTTTAAATCTGATTTTTGTACGTATTTGGTGGATTTCTTAACACTTATACAGGGTTTGGGCCAAAGATACTTGGTTTTGCCGAACCCATTTCTTAAAGCCTACATTCGCCCCTGCTTCTTTGAGCATGTAGAAAGAGAATATGAGATGCCTCTAGGGCTTTGGTCAAAAGGTATTATAGGCTATATTTGTGGTAGGCGCACGCCATGAGTTCAAATCTTGGTTGGTGAATGAAGTGTGGTATTTGAATGGGGAATGGTAGAAAGCCCATATCCACTGATTTTCTAAACCAGAAACAATGGATTTCTTGGTTATCCATAAAGAGAAAGACACAGAATTTGAGATTTCTTTCACAAATACTAGGGGCTGTTGCTAGGGAAAGTTCAAGCTTTTCTGGTGGAACTAGGATAGGTAATTAATCAGTAATCTGTTTGTAGGTTAGCGTCAGATGAAAAGGTTAGAAACGAAATTTGTTTCTTATATCCATGAGGAGAGGGGGGAAGTGAGAGCCCGAGAGGGTAGAAAATGTTTGGATTCGGAAATGTTTGAATTTGCCTTTCTTGTTCTTTAGATTTCATTTGGTCCACCTTGCTAGGCTTTTATAAGTGATTCTTTGTTTCTATATTTTGGTTGACTGGTGAGCAGCACATGACATTAGAGATGATAATCATGATCCTTTCCTTACAACCTTGTACTCCCTCCGTTTCAATTTATGTGAACCTGTTTGATTGGGCACGGAGTTTAAGAAAAATTGAAGACTTTTAGAATTTGTGGTCCTAAATAAGTCAAAAAGGGGCCCAGAGTATTTGTGTGGTTATAAAAGCTTCTCATTAAGGGTAGAATTGTAAGTTTAAGATAAATTGCTTCCAAATTTAGAAAGGGGTCATTCTTTTTGGAACGGACCAAAAAGGAAATAGGTTCACATAAACTGGAACGGAGGAGTAAGTCGTTTGCAATTACTTGCTAACTTATGGAAAGAAACAATATTTGTACACATGTAGGCATGCTCCAGCCAAATTGGTTTCCATTTACGCTTGTGGGTCTACTTCACAAAAAGATTTGACTTTTCAGTTTGTTTGTCACACAAATTTCCTTAATTTAAACTGTTAACCTTATATTATTTTGTGGTTAGCCACTTCGAAATCACATTGATTAGTTGATCATAGAGTCTTCTGTCTTGTTGATCCTAAATTTCTCGATAAGTTTCTAAATCATCGTCAGAGTACATCATAATGCTTGTCTCACATCCCTCAGACTTGAAATTGGACATAGTTATCAAAGAGCTCTCTGTTTCTTGTATAAGTAATATTAATATCTACAGTTATCTCATTTTGCTCACCTCAAACATGTAAAATGCTGGGTGTATTTGTGATTTGCCTTGGCTTCACATTTCTTACTGTTGATCATCATCCGTCTAGGGTTTGTTTGTGGGCTCTACACAAGTTTTTGGGATTTTGATTTACGAAGCTGTGAGAGGGAGCATTTTTATGTTAGCTTAGACTGAATATGATCTATATGATGCTAATACTCACTGTTTCCAGGAAACCAGATTCTCCAAGAGCACGGCCAAGGCAAAGTGCTAGTGAGGTAAAAGATGGTACTCCTAAAAAGCAGAAGCAGTGTAACTGCAAACACTCTCGATGTCTAAAGTTGTAAGTACTACCTCCGTCTCATACAGATATGTGGAAAATCTCAAAAATAACTAAAATATATTAATGGATGGCAAACACATGAAGGTAGCACTGATAAGCTCTGAAATGACTGTTCTTCTATTGTCCTTTCGGCACTGATAAGCTCTTAAATTTCTATTTTTTCCCTTCTTGATGGCAAAATATTTGTTGGAAGGGATATACATGAGGTAATCAAGCATAGATGTGTCTTAAAAAAAACATATTCATTGGTCCAAACAAATATTATCAACTAAACAATTCCCAACAGGAAGGGTTAAGAAAATGGAAAATAAAGATGCGAAATGACCAGATATTGTAAGGATATTTTACTCCTTTTGGCACCTTCGATATGTTTAATCCCTGTTCTAAAGAAGCTAATAATTTTATCCTAGGGCTTATTGGTAATTTTGTAAAAGGAAGGATAATAATGAGATTAAAGCCTATTCCATCACTTAAATTACCTTGGGCACCAGCTCGATTCAATGCTTTTTCCAGGGCCTTTTTTCTTAATCTGTTTAAGTGCGCAAAGTTTCACTTGCAGGAGTATATGTGAATTATTTCTCTTTGTGTCATAGTACTGACTGTCTTTGCATTAATCTTGTGAGCACATACACATAGTGGCAAAATTTTAGGAAAAGTTCTCCGCCGCATACGATTTCCAATCAATGATGACTAGATGTGTACATGGATGTACATTGGCGGTTTGGGGTGGTTTTGAAGTAAAACCATAACCTAATCATATTTTGCACTGGTTTTTCCAAAATATCCAATCAATTTAGTTTAGTTAGCTTGTGGTTGGTTGGTTGACAATTTTGGTAGATTCAGTATAGATTATAGTTTAGGTGTTTACAGTTCAACTATACGTTAGAAAGTCTGGTGTTTTTGGTTATATGACGTTACATTAGGAGCTCAAAGTTTAGGATTATAGACTTTACATATGATAAATTTGGGGTTTAGAGTTTATGTTTTTGTGCTATACATGGAAGTTTGTGGTTTATACATAACATGATTACATACAAAAATTACCAGCTGTAGCCCACATATAAAACCACACTGTTCTTAGTAAATTCACCATTTGCAAAAGTAAACCTTTTGGCCATTAGGTTCTAACCATGAAATAAATGGGCTATTTGTTTCAAAGTGGCCATGCAATACATGTATACAGTCTACATTTTGAAAATGGAGGTTTTATTTGAGTTTTTGCAGCTTTTTATGTATAAAAATCAAAATAAACCACCACAATGGTTTTCTAGGGTTGAAAACCAACCCATGGAAAAGGTCAATTTGTGGGACATTGGTGTATTTCGGATGGTTTAAGTCAATCCCTTTTTTTCCCTCTCACAGTTAGGGTGCAGGTAATATGTTTATACAATTCCATTCTCTGTTATTTGTAAGATTTATTTCGCTTTTATGCATTACTACTTAGAGTCACTGCTTTAGTTCTTATGCAATGTGACTTTTCTTTGCTTTCTTTCTATTTTTGGATCAGGTATTGTGAATGCTTTGCATCTGGCATATACTGTGATGGGTGCAATTGTAACAATTGTCATAATAATGTTGAAAATGAGCCTGCTAGACGTGAGGCAGTTGAAGCTACTTTAGAGCGTAATCCACATGCATTCAGGCCTAAAATCGCCAGCAGTCCGCATGGAGCTCGAGATAATAAGGTACTTCTTAAAACTAAGCAGATTCGTGGATGATGCTTTCTTAAAAGTTGAACTATTCATAAAAATCTTTATTCTAATTATGCTAGAGATCTGAAGATATCCTGGACATGTTACTCCCATTAATGTCCTTGTGGTCTATGTTACTATTTGTTTATTCAGATTCTCTTCAGGCAATGACCTGGTTAAAAATTGCTGATATGAAAAGTAGGAAATGCAATATAAATATTTACTTGAACTTTCTGAGCTTGAGTAGTCAATTAGGATCAATTTTTAGTTTGACTTTGAGCTCGAATTCAGCTTGTAAATAAATGTAAATGTCAGTGGTTATTCAAGCTTGCATTTGAATACTGGAATTTTGACTAATCTTACAAACAGTAAAAAGTAACCTATATCTGTACCTTATCTAATATAAATCTATATTCTGTGTATTGCGTGTAAGAGTAAGAAAGGTGCTTCTATTAAAGGTATTTTCATAACCAATGCACCCTTTGAAATTTAGTTTGACTGAGAAAACATCACATCAGAGTTTAGATTTTGAATGACTGAGTTTGACTTCTTGAAAATTTTCAAGTTGTATAAAGAGGTATGTTGTCGATCATTTTTGGGACGTCCCAAAATGAGAAGAGTGTCCTATAAGTTTGGACAAAGGAATAGTTTTATGAACTTCTTTATGATTAATTTTAAATCATCTTTTTCCTTCTGGGAAGAAAAAAAAGAAAAAATCATGTCAAAAGAAGAGAGAAAACATAATATATCTAGTATCCTCTTTGTGCTTGACCAAACTAAATGATCCAAATTTTGTCAAAGGAAAACATTCATCAACTATTTGGTGGTTGTAGATTTAACAACTAACAATCTACTTATTGAAAATTGCTGGAATCATTGTTGGAAAAAAAAAGAGATAATTCTTACCCGGAAGAACTTTAGAGCTAGATAGCCGTTTAGTCAATTATCATTATTATAAAAATTTAACTTTGAGAAATTAATCAAATGCGGCTCCAAAACAACATATCCAGTGTGTTCCCACAAGTAGGGACGGTGGGGTGTACTGAGACCTTACCCCTACCTTGTGTGAGGTAGAGAGGTTGTTTCCGATAGACCCTCGGCTAAAGAAAACATTTTCAAAATAGGTTTGAAAAATACAAGAGTAAAAAAAGTTAAAGATAAAAATATTGAAGAAAGAAGTATTGACAGCAAAATAGTAAAGATACAACAACCCAGTAAAATCTCGCAAGGCAGCAAAATAGTAAATATAACCAAAGTAAAAGAAATAACAGTAGTAATAAATTTGAGGGATAAGAAAATAATACAATAATAACAATAATATTGATGAAGTGAAGAGGGAGCAGATAAGGTGCTCTAAACTAGAACCATGCGCTCGACTAACTACTAACCATCTATCCTAATCCTTGACCTCCATACTCTCCTATTTAGGGTCATGTTTTCGGTGAGTTGAATATGTGTCATGTTCTATTTAATCACCTCTTCCCAATTGTTCCTCGGTCTATCTCTACCTCTCCTCAGACCTATCAATGCCAGCCTCTTGCACCTCCTCACTGGGGTATCTGCTCTCCTTCTCTTCACATGCCCGAACCATCTCAGCCTCGCTTCCCTCATTTTGTCTACCACAGAGGCCATTCCCACCTTGTCCCTTATATCTTCATTCCTAATCTTATCTCTCCTAGTTTGCCCACACATCTATCTAAGCATCCTCATTTCCACTACTTTCATTTTCTGAACGTGTGAGTTCGTGAGTGGTCAATACTCTGCCCCATACAACATAGTAGGTCTAACAACCACTTTGTAGAATTTACCTAAAGGGGTCAATCTAACTACGAAGTCAACTTAGTTAACTCAATATGGTGGTTTTGAAGCTGTATCATTTTATACTATTGTTCTCATGATGTCCTAAGAACTTATTCTCTTTTGTGAAATTTTGCTTGATTTCTAGAACTACTTGTGCTTATAAGGATGAATTTGGCAGAGTTGAAATTTGATGTAAGTCAAAGTAGCTTCAAATGTTGTTTCTTATTCTATTTGGTAACTTTCGAACTGCGTTTAAACCTTTTTAGGAGGAAATTGGGGATGTCTTAGTCTTGGCAAAGCATAACAAAGGATGCCACTGCAAGAAATCAGGTTGCCTCAAGAAGTATTGTGAGTGCTTCCAAGCCAACATTCTTTGCTCTGAAAATTGTAAATGCATGGACTGCAAAAATTTTGAAGGAAGTGAAGAGAGGCAGGCTCTTTTCCATGGAGATCATGCAAACAACATGGCATATCTCCAGCAGGCGGCAAATGCTGCTATCACAGGGGCCATTGGATCCTCTGGTTATGGATTGTCTCCTGTGAACAAGAAAAGAAAGGGCCAGGAGCTGTTCTTTGGGTCATCAGTTAAGGAACCTGTTCACAGGCATGGACAATCCCAACAGGTAAATGATATCCTTTACCATTGAACTCGAGGCATTTTTCAACTGTTTGATTGGTGAAGAATGTCCGAGTTCCTTCTCATTAGTATAATCCACCGGGCATCGCTGCATTGCTGATAATAGTTGATTGCACACTGAAGGGCATGGTTTTCATCAGAGAAAATGCATTTAACAACTGCGTGAAATTCGTTTTCTGGATTTATTCTTGTTGATATTTTTTGCTTAAAATAAGCAGGAGAGACAACTTGCAGCTTCCCAGAAAATAATTGATGGATGAATTAACATACTGTATTATACAGGGGAACCATATCAAGGCTTCTGTCCTACCTTCATTATCTTCAGTTCCTGGTCCTTGTGTTGGAAATGCTGCAACAGTGGGTCCTTCCAAGTTTACTTACAGGTAGCAGTAACTACCCCTAAGAAATTAACCTTTACTGCTCATTCAGCAAACTAATTGTCATGTTATGGTTGAAGGTCTCTGTTGGCAGACCTCATCCAACCACAAGACTTGAAGGAACTTTGCTCAGTTTTAGTTTTACATTCAGGAGAAGCAGCAAAGATGCTGGCAGGTATATATCTTTTAAGTACTTTTGATTACTTGTATGACCAATACGTTTGGTCCATCATCTTTGTTATATTGATTCCACCTTTATGTTCACTTTAAAATCATAAATTGAGTTTCCATTAGAAAGTAAGAAGTTATCAAGACTTTTTTCTGACATAATTTTTAAAATAACGGTTGACGTATTTTCTTTTTGTCTCGTCTGTTGAGCCGAGGGTCTCCCGGAAACAGCCTCCCTACCCCCCTGGTAGGGATAAGGTCTGCGTACACTCTACCCTCCCCAAACCCCACTAGTGGGATTCTACTGGATTGTTGTTGTTGTTGTTGGTTGAAGTATTTTCTTCACTCTCTCGCTTTACTATTTAAGTCTTTTTCCTTCTTGATCCTTGGGAATTATAAACAGCAGCTTAGGGATGAATGGTTTTTTTTTTCTTACTCCAAATGGATAATCAGTCAAAGATAATTGGAATGGAGTATGAAATGATTTCTGGTGGAAATGAATTAGATCTAGTTTTCCGCTGGTCGAAACGTGAAAGCACCAAATCATCACAGAAACTCAATTTCTTTAGGCGGCTTGTGTGTGTGAGAATGCACGGGAGAAAAGTCTATTATTATTGTTAATTGTAATACAATGAACTATATTTTTAAGTACTCATAATATATAACCTACTCATATTACCTATAGGACTGGGACTAATTACATATATATTCACATAGCTATTCTAACACTCCCCACAAGCTGGTGCATACAAATTATATGTACCAAGCTTGTTACATATATAACTAATACGATGACCAGTGAGGGACTTGGTGAAAATATATGCAAGCTGATCATTCGACTTCACAAACTTTGTCGTAATATCTCCTGAGAGTATCTTTTCTCTGACAAAGTGACAGTCAATCTCAATATGTTTAGTTCTCTCATGGAACATCAGATTCAATGCAATATGAAGGACAACTTGATTATCACACACAGGTTCCATTTGGCTGATCTCACCAAATTTCAATTCTTTGAGCAATTGTTTTTTGGTCCAAACTAGCTCACATGTTGCATAGCCATTGCTCGATATTCTGCTTCTGTACTCGATCGAGCAACGACATTCTGTTTCTTGCTCTTCTAAGACACCAAGTTACCTCCTTCTAAAACACAATATCCAGACGTAGAACGTCTATCAGAAGGTGATCTTGCACAATCAACATCTGAGTATCCAACGATCTGCTCATGGCCTCGATCCTCAAACAATAGTCCTTTGCCTGGAACTGATTTTATATACCGAAGAATGCGGACAACTTCATCCCAATGATTATCACAGGGAGAATCCATAAACTGACTTACAACACTCACAGGAAAGGAAATGTCAGGTTTAGTCACTGTGAGGTAATTTAATTTACCAACCAGACACCTATATCTTGCAGGATCGCTAAGCGGCTCTCCCTGCCCTGGCAGACGTTTAGAATTCGGATCCATAGGAGTATCAACAGGTATACAACCTGTCATTCCTGTCTCCTCAAGAATGTCTAAGGCATACTTCCGTTGTGAGATCACAATACCTGAGCTAGACTGCGCGACCTTAATACCCAGAAAATACTTTAATCTGCCCAGATCCTTAGTCTACAAGTGCTGAAAGAGATGTTGCTTCAACTTAGTAATACCATCCTGATCATTGCCGGTGATAACAATATCATTAACATAAACCATTAGATAAATACAGAGATTTGAAGCAGAATGCCGATAAAACACAGAGTGATCAGCTTTACTACGAGTCATGCCAAACTCCTGAATAACTGTGCTGAACTTACCAAACCAGGCTCGAGGAGACTGCTTTAGACCATAGAGGGACCGGCGCAACCGACATACAAGGCCACTAGACTCCCCCTGAGCAACAAAACCAGGTGGTTGCTCCATATAAACCTCATCCTCAAGGTCACCGTGAAGAAAAGCATTATTAATGTCCAACTGATAGAGAGACCAATGGCGAACAACAGCCATGGATAGAAAAAGGCGGACTGATGCTATTTTAGCAACAGAAGAGAAAGTATCACTGTAATCGAGCCCAAATATCTGAGTATACCCTTTGGCAACAAGACGAGCCTTAAGTCGATCAACCTGGCCATCTGGACCAACTTTAACTGCATACACTCAACGACAACCAACAATCGATTTACCTGAAGGAAGAGGAACAAGCTCCCAAGTACCACTCGTATGTAAAGCAGATATCTCGTCAATCATAACTTATCGCCATCCTGGATGAGATAGTGCTTCACCTGTAGACTTAGGGATGGAAACAGAGGACAAAGATGATACAAATGCACAATGGGGTGATGACAGACGATGGTAACTTTAACCGATATAATGGGGATTAGGATTAAGTGTGGACCGTATACCTTTCCGTAGTGCAATCGGTTCACTAAGAGGAGACAACCGATGATAAGTCAGGAGTGGTGGAACTGCAGAAGGTTGAACTGGACTAGGTGGTGGAACTTGAGCTATAGGTGGTGGAGCTGGAGTTGTAGAGGAAGATGAATGGGAGATTGTGACTGAATCTCCAAAAGATGGAATTGGTAGCACCTCAGAAATATCTAAGTGATTACCTGGACCTGTGAAGTATGATTGAGTTTCAAAGAAGGTAACATCAGCGGACATAAGGTAGCGCCGGAGGTCAGGAGAAAAGCATAGATACCCCTTTTGCATTCTCGAGCAACCCAGAAATACGCACTTACGAGCACGAGGAGCTAACTTATCTTCTCCTGGAGTAAGGTTATGAACAAAACACGTGCTCCCAAAGACACTGGGTGGAAGAGAAAACAAAGGTAAGTGGGGAAACAGGACAGAGAATGGAACTTGATTCCGAATAGCTGAAGATGGCATACGATTAATAAGATAGTAAGATGTAAGAACTGTATCCCCAAAAAACGCAACGGAACATGAGATTGTATGAGTAAGGTACGAGCAGTTTCAATAAGATGTCTATTCTTTCTTTCATCTACCCCATTTTGTTGAGATGTGTACGGACAAGATGTTTGATGAATAATCCCATGAGAGTTCATAAACTACTGGAATGGAGAAGACAAATACTCTAGGGCATTATCACTACGAAATGTGCAGATAGATCCCCAAATTGATTTTGAATTTCAGCGTAGAAGGTCTGGAAAATAGAAAAACAACTCACACCGATTTTTCATCAAAAATATCCAAGTGCACCTGGAATAATCATCAATGAAAATGACAAAGTAGCGGAATCCCAAGGTAGAACTGACCCGACTAGGACCCCAAACATCTGAATGAACTAAAGCAAAAGGTGACTCTGCCCGATTATCAAGACGCCGAGGGAAATGGGAGCGGGTATGCTTACCGAGCTGACATGACTCACGCTCTAGAGTGGACAAGTGCGATAAACCAGGTACCATTTTCTGAAGTTTTGACAAACCGGGATGTCCCAACCGTTTATGTAATAAATCTGGTGAATCAGTAACAGGACAAGTTGAAGGAATACAAGATGTGAGTCCATGTGATTTTGCAAGGATAAGGTAATAAAGTCCATTTGATTCATGCCCGGTACCAATGATTCGCCCTGTACTGTGTTCCTGTATAAAAACAATGTCATCAAGAAATAAAACAGAGCATTTAAGTGATTTGGCTAAGCGACTAACAGCTATGAGATTAAAAGGACTACTGGGAACATAGAGAACTGAATTTAAAGGTAAGAAAGGAAGTGGACTTGCTTGACCTATTCCAGTTGCTATGGTTTGAGACCCGTTAGCCATTGTGACTGTTGGAAGAGATTGAGAATATGAAATAGTAGTGAAAAGAGATTTGTTACCAGAGATGTGATCAGATGCACCTGAATCAATGACCCAAGACTCGGAGGATGAAGATTGGGAGACACAAGTCACGCTATTACCTGTTTGAACAACGGAAGCTATCTTTGAAGATGTATGTTTACACGCTTTGTACTGAAGGAACTCAATATAATCCAGTAGAGAGACCATTCAGCTATTCATAGTATTGGATCCCATTTTGCTACAACCAATTTCTCAAATTCTTGACTAAAAGTTGTATGGTTAACCTTGGAATGCCAAATCAGAACACTTTTTTTCTTTTTCTTAGTTGGAGTTAAAAATCAGGGTCTTCACTTGAAATAGTAGAAATCAATAACTCCTATGGGAAAACTGATGAAATATTTGGGAAAACACTGTTCACGACAGGAAGAAAACATTGTTCACGCCGGAAAACACTGTAGCTCGTCGGAAAATTCCAAAGTTGTCGGATTAGAAAGAAAATTATATGGACATGCTCGAAATCACCTCCCGAGAAATTTGTCCTGAAGAAGCTGGGCCAAAAAATGATCGGAACTGCCGGCGCGTGGATCAGAGGTCTCGCCGGAAAATTCACTGTCAGCGAAACGTGAGGGTGCGTGCCAGGTATTCTGGCGGAGATTTTTTTCGGGGTTGGTCGCCGGAGGGTGATCTACTTCGTGCTGGTGTTGGTTTTTGCACAACACCCACAAAAAAGGAACTTTTAAATCGGACAGACCTGCAGCCACCGGAAAATTTTCTGATTAACTGATTTCTTCTTCCCGGAGTCGCTGGTATTTTTGCACAACGATGAATCTCTCACGTTAGCTCTGATACCATGTGAGAATGCACGGGAGAAAAGTCTATTATTATTGTTAATTGTAATACAATGAAGCCAATTTATAAGTACACATAATGTATAACCTATAGGTAGTAAGTAACTCTTCCCACCAAGGCTTAGGCCGAGAGGAATTGATCACCTGGTTTTTTATAGGCCTCTGCTGAGACTTGAACTTCGGTCTCCTGTAGCTTTTTCCACTTCATTGACTACTCGGCCACACCCTCATGTGCTCATTGAAGTGAGACTCATTTCTTTTTTCCTCCCCCACCTTGTGTTTAAATGAAAGCCTTATGCATAAAACATGTTTTCTGTTAGTATCTATAAGATCTACAGCAGAATTACTTGTGAGTTTGCGCAATTAGGATTAAGCAGAAGCCACATTTAGGTTCTACAGTCACCGCACATGCATTATGATACCCTATCCAAAAATAAACCACAATGTTCCTAACTAGAGCATGAAAGTTGGGCCAGATGTACTCCAATTTGTTAGAGGGAGACTACGCAGATCAGGTAAGGTAATTATGCATAAGCTGGTTTTCAGCTATGTTGCGCGGACTTTCCAAAATGTTGCCGTACCTGTGTCGGATCCTCCAAAAATGCACTACTTTTGGAGGATCCAACAAGCACCCGGCAACATTTTCAGAGAGTCCGAGCAACATAGGTTTTCAGACTGTTATGCCTCCCTGTGCATCTGGTGGATGACAACAGATATATGAATTTAACTTGACTTCTTAATAGTTCTGATTTGAAAAAAAAGGAACTAATGAAAAAGATTATATTTTTTTATCAGTTCTGTGTATAAAGAATGTTTTTGCAAATAGATCTCCTAGAAGAAACACTAGTGATGTACTTCTTTTGCTGAATGGAGAACCCTAGAATCATAAATTGGTTATAATGAGGATTCATCATAAATGGACTAGATCTACTAGACCATCAACCTACCGCAAATCTCTCGTTTATGGGCTTGGGACAGGTAATGTGAGTTCACATAGGATGCTAAGCTCGTATAGGTGGAGTAATGTGTTGAGCATGGACTGAATGTGCAAGTCAGATCTTATGTTGTTGGAAAGATAAGATCTTTCATATGGTGGTTCTACCATGTGATTTTTGTGATTTTATTACACGTTTGCAGTAGTTGGTGTCCAATTATTTTACTGATTACGTGTTGGAATGCTTTCAGATGAAAAGGATGCTTCAATAAAACAGGCTGAGGGGCAGAGAGAAGCTTCCTTGGCTTCATCAACTCAGGAGCGAGTACAAAACCAGAAAGATTCTGGTACTGAGAAGGATATGCTTGACTGTTGTTCAAGTGGGGACCAGGGTGAGAAAATCAGTGTGGAAGAGTCTAGTTTGGATGGTGCTGATGTATCAAAAAGGCCAATGTCGCCAGGGACGTTAGCACTAATGTGTGATGAATCACACACCATGTTTTCAGCTGCTGTTGCTTCCCCTAATGACCTAGCGACTCTTAACTGTAATACATCTTCTCAATTGCCCCACGGGCAGGGCATGACCGAGACGTATGCAGAACAAGAAAGAATCGTGTTGATGAAATTTCGTGATTGTCTTAATAGGCTTGTCGATTTAGGACAACTAAAAGGTAAGTTTCTCTTTCTTTTCTGTCCATACCTGGTTCTTATTCACTGAATATGTAGCTGTTACCAATTTATCTACATCAATGAATCCATAAATAAGCCCCAAAATACATTTCAGTGATACGTTCAATGGCCTCTGTTTAAACTGTTGTCTTTTAGTGTAAATGGGAGATAATTTCCTGTTGGATTCCTGCGTTAGGCAAGAGAAATGTAGTATTATCAGGGATATAAGTGTAATGACCTGAAGAAGAGATGGTAGCTGATAATTGCAATCCATTACTAGATTCCTAAGTATAGCCCAAAATAATTAAATGTGGTTAATTAATTCCCTTATAAATAATCAAATATGCAAGTATCCTGACCAACCTACCTGAGGTACATTGTATAATGCTTGAGTTGGACATGTTTACTTATGTATCCGGATCCTACGGATTGCGGGAGCTTAGTGCACTGGCCTTCCCTTTAATGTATTCTAAAGGATTAATGTGAAGTGCTCAAATCCGTATCATTACCCAATCCATACAAGTATATCAAGACAAATGAATTGTGTACTTGACATAGTTTATGATAACCCACGACCAGACTCCCTGCATACACCATAAATTAGCATGTCATTGGCTACTGAATGTAAAGGAGTGAAGATTGAGAACTCCATTACTCAGTAATCCTTCGAAGTGGAACTATCCCTCTTCCTTCTTTTTCACGGTAATCATAATTCTCTTTTCTAGGAAAAATCCACCTTTCACTTCCTCTTTAGCTCCTGGTAACTGGTTCTTCCCTTTTATGGGTAAGGTAGGAAGTCTATTTACATGCTCGTAAATGTACCGAGTTGGAGCTACGTTGTAAGCATTACATCTATCAACCTACCATCAAACTCGTGACATTGTTCTAATCATTTACATCTATCTGTTCACCCGATAAAATTATAGTATTTGTGCATCTATGCTTTAGTCTATAAAGCAAGATCTTGTATTCAAAGCGTCTCCTATTTCCTTCTCTCCAGAGTGGCTACATTATGTAAGCGGCAGCGGTATCTCAAAATCTTCTGACTGATCAAGATTTTGTTCCCTTTCCACATAGCAAAAATTTCGTCAACTGTTTCTGCATTACCCAATTCAGGCCAACCAAGGCAAGGAATACACCACAAATTTTAGCTACTTCACAGTGAAGGAGCAAGTGACTGATCGTTTCCTCCTGTCTGCCATGCCGCAGACCTGTGCACAGTGGTCTTCTCTTCTGTGTAAGTTATTTATTATAGCTCCATGATCTGCTGTCCAAAGAAAAAAAGATAGTTTCGGACTAAGTTGCTCGGACTCGGGTGCGGGTGTCCGTTACGGGTGCGGATCTAGAGGTCGGATCCTTTATGATCTAAATTTTAAGATGGGGGGTGCGGATACGGGTGCGGGGATTTGGTTAAAAATAATTCAAGTATCTAAAATAGAGTTATAAAATATGTCTAAATTATGAGAGATTATGTGCAAAATTTACCCGGTATATCGAGAAAGAGAAAATACTGATCAAGAGGAGAATCCGAGAAGGAGATAAAAGTAAAATGACTAACGTAGAAATTTCTATATACAAGGTATTCTATTTTCTTCAATTTCACCCTAGCTTTTGTTTTGATTTCAGAAATCATCGTATTTGTCCCTAATTTCTCCGTCGCTTTTGGTTAAAATACCCAAAATCAGTTAAAATACACGTGTGCGGCACGGAAAGTGAAGAGTCCGAGCAATTTAGCTTTCAGAGGCACTCGGTCTGACATATTGCTTTCCAATGATCGAATTCAGCTTCCTAATTCCTTAAAAACTATTCTAGAGTGAATAGATATTAGCAAGAAGCTGCCTTTTTGTTTCCTTCGCAAGTAATTATATCAGCTTCAGTATTTAGTTCCACATATTCTTACAACCTGCTAAAAGCTGATTAATGAACCACAGTTCTCACCTATCTGAAATTCAAATAACTCTACTGGTTACAAGAACACAAATTTGGTGCAATCACAGAGATCATTCATTATTCTCATCCCCAGAAAGGAGATTGAAGTGACGTAAGATTAGACGGATCCTAATCATAGATATTCAGATAACTATGCTTAGCTTTAAGAAGAATTACATGATAAATGAAGACGCAATACATAAAAATAATAAAATTAAGGAGTGCTACCAGAATAATACGTGATAGAAGGGTAATCAATGAAGTAAAAGGCAAGTTCCATAGAACGAATGTGAGACCAACAAGTAATATAGGAGAGAAAGTTGAGTCTGAAATGCCCAACATACCCGCAAGATGGATATCATAGAATAAACTACAGATTTTTAGAGGATGTGCGGTCAACAGGATAGAACAGATTAGAAATAATCACATTCAACAGAGGGTTCAAGTAGCACATATGGAGATAAAGCCAGAGAAGGTTGCCTGAGAGAATTTTGTTCTATCTTATATAGACCTCTATATGCACTGGTTCATTGGCATGACAGTATGATGATTAAATTTTTTTACAATGAACAATATGATAATTAAATGTGATAAAAGAAGAAGAGATAGACCTAATCAATTGGAGGGAAATAGTATCAAAGAACTAAAATCTTGTGGAATTCCATGTAAACTTATTTATTAATGATTGATAATAATGTCTGAATATTGAATGGTATTTCGATTAAATTTTTAAGTATTAAAAGTTAATAATATGTCCAGGTGTATAGCATTGCTTTGTTTTTGGTGTAAAATGGAACAAGTAGATGAGGCTGAATCTATTTTAGAAGTGCTACATTCCCTACAGGTTCAGAAGGGTTATACTTTTGCAAAGTTTCTCTTTTGGCTGCACATGTACAGTTTTAACAGTATATCATTTGTGTTGTTTCATTTATATTATGCCTCACCTTTTCAAAAAATAATAATGTCCAGGTATTGGTTGAAACACGTGATATGGAGTAAGTTAGAATAGTTATAAAGGAAATGACTTCTGCCTATTAGTGAAAGGAATTCATGTTTTCCTTTTTGGTGGAATATGTTCTCCTTAGAAAATATTTTCCTATAATCCATAATCAAACATCAAAATATGACTTATTTACAGAAAATATTGTGTCAGCCAAACAAAACCTTAGCTAAAAGCACAAAGTAAAGGATCCAAATAGTCGATACAATTGTTTGGGATTTAATCAGTTGTCTAGGAAAAGATTAGTGAGAGATTTATAGTGCTCCTAACATGTGCCTTAGAAAGGTAAATTATTTACTAGTGGATTGAAATGGACTTGAATAAAATGATGTGGATTTAGAGTAGTTGGCCCAAACTGATTTGTGGTTGAGGCTCAATTGATTGTTGTTTGATTAAATTGATTCAGAATCCTCGTGTATAATAAATCTGCAGAGCTCTAGGTACTGCCACCAGCTCCTTTCTCCATTTTTCTCTTGTATCTCAGATCAATTCCACTTGACCACACTTGCAAGGTCATGGTGAATTAGAACATGTGCTTTGTTCTTCTCGGTTTGTAGAAATTAATTACCTGCGGTCCTAGAAACAAATAAGGAAAGGACGCCTTGCATTAGCTTTGAATGTTCACATAACCTATGCGTACTATCTGTCTCTTAAATTCCTAATATAACCTATCTACTTTTTCATGTTATTTTTATATTCTTAAATCCCTATTAATTTAAATTAAAACATCAATAATACAATTTGTTAGAACTTTTGGTTCAACCATCCGATGCCTGGAATACACTGGCTTGAGTAATCTAGATTCACACCATAGAAAGCCCACTATGGGTGGTTTTTGCGATAGTGGGCTTTGTGTGCTTCCTACCAAAGATGAACTCCATTCCAAGGCTCGAAGCCAAGACTTCTGGTTAAGGGTTGTTAGAACTATTTGTGAAGTATTTAGTTACAGTATCATTTTATAGGCTTTTAGAGCTTTCAACAAAAGAGATTATGCTTGCTTCATATGCAACTGCATACGCGCCCCCCACCCCCACCCCACACTTCCGATTTGCTCCCCTTTTTCTTTATGCTGCTTACCACTGTGTTTCATTTGGAATGACATTATGTAACTAACCATCTATTTCAAATTTCAGAACGAAAATGTTCTTCAATGATCCGAGGTGCTGACCCCGTCGATCAAAAAGATATGATTGGTAATGGTTTTACTACGACTGAAATGAGGAATCAGCATGATTCCTTAAACAATGGTGTTGCCAAGTCTGCTCTTCCTCAGCCAAGAACAACTCAGTTGTTTAGTGCAGTAGTAACTACTGCTAATAATAATCCATTTCCTAAAGTTCATCGTCCAGATGAGAATGGGGATGTCAAACCAAAAATCTGAAAATAAACCGTAGTGAGTTTTAGAATGAGATTTGCCTGTAACTGCTGCTTCTTTTGTAATATTAGGCTTTTATTCATTCTGTCTTTCTTTGATGTAGCAGTGAAGTTCATTCAGGCCCCATTTGTTAGAGCTAACAACCCATGTAACTTCTACCACATTTACTTTAGTATAATTTCAATCAAAATTGTATTTTGTTTAACTTTTTCTTGAATGTGCATCTGCTAGCTAATTGGCACCTAGGGAAGTCAAATGTGTGTAGGGCTGAATTCAAGTGGATTAAAACGGGACATCCGGATTGAGACTCGCTCTTCTCATCTAGAAGAACAGTTCAAGGGCTTCTTTGATCGGGAAATGCACACTTCTTTTGTTGTTACTAAGGTCCCTTCCCCTTAGTTCAAGATGTCCTTGCCGTTTCTCAGCTTATGGGATTAAGGCGTGCCACCTTGAGAGGAATTATTGATGCAAATGTGGCATCCTGTATTTGATAGAATATGTTAGGTCTGTTTTCGAGGGTCTAACGAAAATAGTCTCTATGCTCTCCCATGGTAGAGATAAGATCTGACGTACACCCTATCCTCTCAAAACCCGACATGTGGGAATCCACTGGGTTTGTTTGTTGTTGTTATGTTAGGCTTGTTTCAATAGAGTTTGATGATTCTAATAGAAGCATATCTAGTGCATGATTGCAACGTTGGAAACTATCTTATCGTACATAATTGTACTATTTTAAGCGAAATATTTCCCCAATTTGCTGACAAATGAAATATTTTCACGAAAAGAATAGCAAGCATGGATATGTTAAACTCACTAAATTACGCCTGATTAGTCAAATTTTCAACGTTGTGAACTTAAGATCTACTTCTTGAACACATAAATAGTTACAATAACCAAATAAGAAATAGCATATAAAAAGTTGGAAATTCTTTCCAACATTATTCAAGAAATTAAGCAATCCGCTCCATTCTTGTCAATAGTCCACACTACTAAATTGGACTTGAAATTGGGGTGTTCTATACCGAAGAAGTAAACATTATATAAAGATATAACCATGATGCTGAAGAGGTCAAAGTAGGTGCCTCCAAGGAAATTTTACATTTCTATATTCCATCAAGTCGTATTTCCACAGTATCTGAAATTTTATTGCATTGCTTACATGCGTGACCTTGAAGATGAAGAGGTAGAAGCAGGAGCGCTCTGAAGCACAAGAAAAGATGTTATAAGTAAACATTTAAGATATGCACATAGCACGGAAAGCAAGCAATCGCAGTTCAAAATATGCACACAGTTGCCAACAGTCAGTTGTAAGTCTCCCAAGTTGAACAGATAGTGATGAAATTAATCAATAAAGAACCACCAAAGAAGAATTCCTAATGTATCATCTGCAGCAAAACTATGAAAGGGATCTAGCAATCCCTGGACCATTGAAAGGTTCCTTACAATAAAATAAGGGCAGAACAAGTTATTCCAACTATCTTGTAGTTGGCAGCGGATATTGGAGTTGTCCCCTCTTTTGATCATGCCTAATCCAGATTCTCTTGATCCAACAGAACCAAATCCGATGTATGATGGAGTTGAAGTCTTACGGTAAGCAGCTCGGTGGCTGTTGCCAGCTATATGATTATCTCGTCTTTCTTGTTCTTTCATCCCAACAAACTGAACTAAAACTAAGATGGTGCAAATCATAAAACCATGACTAATATCTCTGCTTTATGTGGTTTGGCAAAAGAGGGCTCATAATATGGTGATGTTTTGCTTATTAGTGGTACTTCCAATATTATAAAGTAATAATAGTTAAATCGGCCAAAGTCACTGCTTCAACTGTATATTGATTCTTAATAATTTGTAGGCACAAATCAATGACCAAATTGCTAGTTGAGACACACGAGACAGGTAAAAAGATCTATATATTGCACGATAAATCTATAAGATCAAGTTCTTACCAAGGGAATGCCGTTTGCTGCTCTCTCTTCCAAGAACCTTGATGGCTTGAAGAAATTACCATATAGTTCTGACCACTTCTTGAGGCTTTTATATATATGACCAGCCCCAACTGTATCTGCCCAGAAAACAATGCCACCTCTGCGAAAGGAAAATCATTGTAAGAAACATTTGTTTTAAGAAAAAAGTGCTCGTTTTGGCGCGAAAAAAAAAAGACCAGTTACAAAGTGTCGAGAAAAAAGGTTAAAGCTGGTGATCTTTTGTCTTCTGTAAACATCATGATTTGATAACAACTTGCACTTGTAGACTGTCTATTCCCTCCATCCTTCCCCATTCCTCTCCACCGATTAGTTTTAACAATCCCCTTGTCTCTTGGGTATACAATCTCTCCTAAGCATGCAAGATTACTCCCCATTTATACCAAGCAAAACAGGAGATATTGATTTTGTGTTAGTCCCGTTGTTCACACTTCAAAAATCATTAGTTATCACAAGCTAGCAAGGAGTAAATATTTGACTTATCCATGAAGGGAAGCAAGTGAATGCTGAATTCACAGTAGAGTACCAACCTATAAGATGGGAAACTCATTCCAAGTACAGAAGCGACATCAAGGTCTGATGCCCGGACTACAACCCCGTCTTCCAAAACACGACATGCCTCATTCACAACGGGAAAGAGTATCATCTCAACAATTTCTTGATCGGTAACAGATAATGGCTGCCACAAATTAAAAACAAAGACACCGGTTATGGTGAGGGATTTAGAATTTTACAAACCCTTCAGAACCAATAATCAACTAATGATTAGAGATTTGCTTTTGTTAGCCGGTAATACCTTTCCTCCAGGCATAATATTAGTGAGCCTTCTAGACTCCTCAATAATTGGAAGCACTGAAGGATCAGGTTTTGGCTTCTCTCCCTTCTTGTAAATGTAGTATCCTTTTCCGTTGTTTTTACCTGCAGCACCAGTGTCAATAGAAAAACCATTACCTAGAAAGCAACAAAACAAAGGATGAGACTTGCAATATTACCATTTCGCCCACTTTTTATTAGAAGGTCAAGCAATGGAGACTTAAATGTTCTATCAGGAAAAGCCGAAGCAAACTCTTTCCCTGTAGCAACAGCTACTCCATATCCAGCCAAATCCTGAAGCCTACAAAGTGTTGAAGCAAATTATTTTACATGCCTAACCAACTTAACTATTGCTTGCAGTAGGCAGGCTGCTGTATGTGGAAAGAAAACCTGTTAGTGTTGATGCTCTAGGTGCATTTGAAAAATTGAATTGTTTAAGTACATAAATCATCTTAAGGCTGTATAAGTCAAATCTACCATGAAAATTGCATCTGCAGGCTGCAGAGAACTGCTGACTAGTTTACTATCCCTCACATGAAAAAAAAAATGATAACTTTGTGGAAGAGAATTACTGGAATGGACCAATAGGGAGACCAAAGCTAGTGATTTGCGCATCAATCCTGTAGACATCTACTCCAAGATTGGCGAGAGTATGTGCGCTCTGGGAATATGGAAAGAATGTCCTATTCACAGCAAAACCAGTACAGTTTCTCACTACAACAGGTACTTTCTTTATTGATTTGCCAACAGCCATGAGGTCGAGAATTGCCTGTGCAGATGTCTTCTCGGTCCGTACTATCTCCAGCAGAGGCATCACATGAGCAGGACTTACCATAGCAAAAAATCAATCATAAGTGCAAAACAGAAGTGCTCCAACAGATTTATCACAAGGATTTCTATTTAAAAATAAAAATAAAAATAAAGAACAGAAGGAGCAATTAGCTTGTTAGGCAGGAGTCTTTCTCACTAGGTTCTCCCTCCCTTTTTTTAGATTGCTAGGCAGCAGTAATAACAGCTTTTGCTCTATATCTCCCCAATTTCTCTTATAAAGAACAAAATAACAAAAAGACGAATTGAAGAATATCCCAAATTTTCTGGGAGGAAAACTTAAAAATGAAACTATTGAGACATGTGAAAGATAATCTCCTCACATCCATATAACATTTTGTTCCACATTATTCTGTTTCCCATACTATATTTATACTTCTCTTTCATGTAGCGGTCATATTCCCCTCAACAAAACACATACAATATAATAACTTTTATACTTGAAAATCAGCTGTACANGAAAACTTAAAAATGGAAATTATATTGAGAAATGTGAAAGATAATCTCCTCACATCCATATAACACTTTGTTCCACATTATTCTGTTTCCCATATTATATTTATTCTTCTCTTTCATGTAGCGGTCATATTCCCCTCAACAAAAAACATAGAATATAATAACTTTTATACTTGAAAATCAGCTGTACAGGATCATAGTGGTCAATTTTTCTTGATTAGTAGGGTTGGCCTTCACTAAAGGACTAAAGTTACAGGGCAAGAATTCTAACCTGAAAAAGTGTGCCCCTATAATCCGATCTTGAGATCTCGTCTTTTCCCCAATTAGGTTGAGGTCGATGGTAGATGTATTGGTTGCCAAAATACAGTGAGAAGGACAGACCTTCTCAATATCACTGAAGATTTGTTGTTTTAGCGGAAAATTTTCAATGACAGCCTACACAGAAAACAGGACTGTTTCAAATACTTACAACAATTTCAACAGATTGAGAATACTAAAATTCTGGCCATTGGCATTTTTATAGCACCAGGATAATAGAGAAGCAAAACAAAGAAGCAAGGAGGGAAAAGAAGAAACCATCCTGCGGAACATTACTTGGCAAAATATAGGTTCAGTCCCTACCTCTATGACCATATCCACATCCTTAAATTCTGAGTAATCCAGTACACCTTTAACAATTGAGAGAGCTTTGTTTGCTTTGTCCTGCTGCAACTTCTTTCTCGCTACCAATCCTCGTATGTTTGCTGTAATATAAGGTGCTCCATATAAGTTTCTAACTTCCAAGACCATAAAAGGAGTATCAATATAAAAATGGTCAAAGGGCCTCACAATCTCGCAATCTATCACAACATATTACCAAGGCATCAACTACTAAAATATAATAAGTTCCTGCTGAAAGAGTATCAATAACCTTCAACTGCTTTTATCCCCTTTTGAAGATACTCGGGATTAATTTCCTTGAGAATAACAAATATGTTGCTCAGAACTAGAGCGGTAGCTATGCCTGAACCCATTAAACCTCCACCTATTATGGCAACTTTCTTCATTGGCCTTGGTTTCAGACCAATATCAGTTACATTAGGTACCTGAACCATTTAGTAATTAAAATATAATTCAGAAATAAGAT